TCAACAAACCTACATACAAATACTGAGAGACACCCCCCAAAAAAACAAAAACAAAACAAAACAACAACAACAACCAAACAAAAACAACAACAACAACAACAAACAACTAAAAAAACGAAAACTACATAATATAACAATCAAAATAATTGCAACGAAAAAGAAAATGACTAAGGAAGGGGTTTGTCATGAGGTTTCAGTTTGCCATTTTCATTTTACGGCTATGAAAGGGGAAATGGGGAGGGAGGGCTCTCATATATCTCCTTATATCCCCGACCTGACGTTATCAAAAATTATTTAGTATTATTATGTCGCTAACAGGAGTCTGTTGTCCGGTCGTCCGTTTTCTTTTCATGACCGAAGGGGGGGGGGGGTATATTCATATTTTCCAATACCATTGGCTTTACTTTGTCCCAAAAAAATCTGTAATTCTGGAATGTGTTTTCATTCTGATGCAATGCCGCATAGTGTAATTGTCAACATTGCATTCCGCAAATTAAAAAAAACCCAAAAAACACACAAAAAACCAAAACAACCCAAACAAACAAAAAACCCGAAAAACGTCAGCTAGGCAGCCTGCACCACATCAACCGTGACACGTTTAGATAATGTCGAAAGTTCCACATCACTGACCACTGACAGAGGGTGACATTTTACTTTTCTGCTATGCGCCGTGTATCCCTCGGACAATTTTATTGCATTTTTTACAACTTTATACAAACATGTATACTTTAAACGTGGTCAGCAGTTTGATATAAAGTTAGACGGAAATAACTATAATCTCGCGCATTCCTTTTCCGTCACTTTCTACACCAACCAGGAACAGAGGCAGTACACGAACGAGTACATGTTTAATACACATAGAGAGATATTACAACAGAAATATCACTGGAGCCCAGCGGGTGTTGGTGATATCGGTTTGATGATGATGAGCATCTGTCACACCACAGTCCAGGCGGTCCAGGTGTTATTTGAGCCCTGACCTGACTCTGCATTGCAAATGAACCCAGACAGCAATGTATTGTGACATAGATCGAAACCAGACAAAAACAGCATCGAATAGAACCACAAGCAAAACACCCACATATTTTTGGTTTTAGCGTATAGTTTCACACTGCAATACAGATCATGTAAGTTTGTTTTAGTACGAGCATTACGGCACTCGCAACTCCATAAGGTCATATGAGTGCCAGAAGATTAGAGATGTTACAAGCGAGTAACAAACACAAAAAAAGAAGAAGGGAGGATAAGGACGATAGATGTTGGATAGACAGGAGAAGCAGTAGCAGAAGCAAATCATGTAAGTGCCGAAGATTAAAGGTATTACTGTTAGAGTAACATAAAAAGAAAAGAAGGAGAAGAGATAAGGATGATAGATGTTTGATAGAAATGAAAGAGTGAACGACACCAGAGCACCTGTAAACCATCAACAAATATTTTTGGGAAGGATACATTTCCACGTCAATTCATTATAATTATTATACAATTAACGCTTTTTCTGTCAATAAATATGTTAGAAACCAGAAATTCTAGTTTTAAAAATAACCAAGATACAAACCCCCCCCCCCCCCCAGTACAGTAAGGAGAAGCACACATACAAATACGACACCACACTAACAAAGCATTATGCACCATGGACAGGCACAAAGGAATGTAACGTAACATGGCACCACAGAAAACAGAAGCAAAATCCAATCAAGGGAACCCCACGACTCCTCACAATTAATTAATTACCCTGTAAAAAAAAAAAATTCACACATACACAGCTGAAAACAACAGCAGAGTTGAGCTGGGAAAACCAATCAGGATTATGAGTCAATGAGTCACTTCGTAACAGAGTTCACTTACCGACCACGGTCACTTCATCAGCTTCCATAATGGGCGCCGACTCGGCAAGCACTGACCGACTTGTGATAGATAGATAGAAAGATTGAGCTAGGTGAGCTGGTGGAGGAATGCAAGGCCAGCTAGTCCTGCTTCACCGCGATGTTGTGTTGCCGTAGCCTCCTCCTCTATGCAGCTATGCGGTGTGAAACAGTCGTGCGTGTGTGTGTGTGTGTGTGTATTCCAAACAGTTCCACGCGCTGGGTTGTAAATATAATCCAAATCACCGCACGGCTCGCTTGTCTTTCTCCCGACGTCACGACCAAGTTCCTTGTCCCATTTCCATTATCTCAATCTGCAGAAAGGGGAAAAAGGAGGGGGGGTGGGGGAGAGAAAAATAAAGAACCATGAAGACACGACCGGGTGAAAGACGTGGGAGTG